TTGATTGATTGATTGAAATTAAATACAAATAGTTACCAGACTAGCAAAATGGTTCAGTGAGTAAAGACACTTGTCACCAGGCCTGACAAGCTGGGTTCAATCTCCAGGACCCACATGGTAGAAGGAAGAAGAACATTCCTAAACCATTGTTCTCTGACCCTCATATGAGTGCTGCGAACATGTTCCTCTCCCCAAGAAATGTAAAACAAAAATTGCAAATGTAAGTTAATAATGATGGTGACAACTATTATTATAAAACAACGGAAACAGCCACATCTGGTGAAGGGCCTCCGTGTGTGATAGCACACCAGGGACAGTGGCCCGCAGGACAGAGACAGTAACAGGAGCCTCAGTTCCAGCCCTGGAGCTGCCAGGCCCCTCTGCGGAGGCCCCCGGGCTGGGGCGGTGCTCAGTGGACAGCACTCTCCTGGCATGCGAGGAGCACTGGGTGCCATCCGAATCACTTTATAACCAGAGGGTGTTGAATCTGGCTCCACAACCCTGGGGAGGTGGTGGAGACGGAAGATCAGGAATTGAAAGTCGTCTTCAGCTACATACTGAGTCTGAGTATAATCTGCTTTATATTAGACACTGGAGAGGGGTGGGGAAGAAGAGAGAGAGAGAGGGGAAGAGGAGGACGAAGAAGGTGGAAGAGGAGCAGTAGCAGCAGGGCTGGCAAAATGGCTCAGTGGCAAAGATGTCATGTAAAGATGAAGGAGAGAGCCAGGCGGTGGTGGCACACACCTTTAACCCCAGCACTCGGGAGGCAGAGGCAGGTGGATCTCGGTGAGTTCTAGCCCAGCCTGGTCTACAGAGTGAGTCCAGGACAGCCAGGGCTACACAGAGAAACCCTGTCCCCCCCAAAAAAAAAATGGAAGGAGAGAACTGACTCTACCAACTTGTTCTCTGACCACCATCTTTGTGTCATTTGCACACACGTGTACAAACTAATAGTAATAAGAAAGAAAAAGAATTTAAAAAGAAGCAGAGGCAGGAGGGTCTCTATAAGCTCAAGGCTAGCCTGGGTTTCATGGTGAGTTCCAGGCTAGCTGGGAATACATGGAGACTCTGTCTCAAATACATGCATACACATACCTACATTCACACATTCATACACACATACATACATGTATACATCCATGCATACATCAGAAAGAAAATGGACACATTTAAGAGGCATGTAACAGTTAATTAAAATTATAGCAGTAAACAAATATCATGTTAACCTACGTTGTACAGCACGTGTCTCAAAACTCAGTAAGAAGGTATCGTTGTTTTTGAGACAGTTTCATGTAGCCCAGATTGGTCCTAAATTCCCTAAGTAGCCTCAGATGACCTTGAACTCCTGACCCTTTAGCCTTCACCTCCCATGTACTGGGTTGGCTGCAGCATCATGGGACATTTGTGCAGTGATGGGGATCAAACCCACAACGTTGGCAATGGTCAGCAAATGTTATACCAGTGGAGCTAGTCTATGGTCGTTATTTTATTTTATTTTATTAAGACAGGGTCTCTCTGAGCGTCCCAGGCTGGCATCTAACCTTTCTGGCCTCAGCCCCTGGAGGGCAGGATCTGGGTCGGGGCCTCCACACCCAGCTTAGGATTGTTAAGTCTTTGCAATTCAGCCTCTTTGGGCTTCTTCACGTTTATTTTTGTGTCTGGCCTTTCGTGTCTCCCTGAAGGTTCCATACACTCAGGAAAGAAGCACAGTAAAGTCTGCTAAGTGTCTGCATGAGATTATGACCATCGTTTCGATGTCCAGTGGTAGAGGGGGCCGAAGCTGAGGGCTCCTTGGGCTGTACTTTCCCGGGCCCCCTGAGCGCCCCCCCACCTGGGACCTGCATAACCTCAGGATCAGGTCTCCAGGGTGTAGGTGACACTGGTGGAGCTTCCCCAATAAGCTTGTTGCTGAGCGCCCCTCCTGGGGTTATAAGGAGACTCCTGGACCATTCCTGCCCATCGCACCTGCTGCGGAACAGACAAAGCTGCAGCTGCTGCCTCCGTTTTCTCTTTCTGCCAACACTCTTTAATCCGTGCTAATCGGCTGAATTAAACCTATCTTTAGCTCTACCTTGTGTTGCCCTAAGCACCGCTCCTCTATTCCAGGCCAGTAGGTCACAGAGGGACAGCGCTCTAAGGTTGAGTGTAGTTCTCAAGTCTTTGCACGTTCCAGATGATGGCTGCCTGTGATCAGTGCGTCAGGGCCTCTGTGTCTAACACATGTCGGTATCTTCCTGGCGAGGAGCAGGCGTGCATACCTGGGCCAGCCCGTTGGTGGAAGCCCTACCCTTCGTCCACCCGCAGCTGGACCGTGCAGCCCATACAACAGACACCGTTTGCTGTGTGTCTGTCCATCCACAGACACATTGTCCCGATGGACACATTGGGATGGCCTCTGTAGAGGAGGTGTCTGTGAAGGCGCGGGGTCGGGTCCAGTAGGTTCCATTGTCCCCCATACGGGGGGCCTCCACTCCGGGCCGGGTGAGTCAGCCCCGGGCGGCTCCCGCGTCATCCCGGCCGCTCTGCTCCACGCTATTTCGGGCTCCGGGCACTATAAATAGATACTCTCACAGCCGAGGCGAGCCGGGACCCCCTCTCTGCTCGGGCCCCCTGCGTCCCCGCCCGCCGCGATCGCCGTCACCGCGGCTAAGTTTAGAGGCGGGTGGGGACGCCGGCTTGGCCACTGCGCTCCCCCCCCACCCCCGCCGCCGCGGGAGGAACCTTTGAAGGCCTCCAGCTGTCCAGCTCCTTTTTGGTTCAAACCCCCAGTTCTCCATACTTTCTGGAGTGCAGAGGAGACCCCTAGTTGATACAGGAGAAAGTAGCACAGGAGGAGAGTACCACCGGGATCCCGAGTGAGGAACGTGGGGTCATTTGAACTCAAAGCCCCGGGAGTGGAAGGACCTGGATCTGGGCTTGCAAGGCTCAGTGCAGAAATTGAACACAGAAAGCAAACTTCGGGATGATGAACTAAGAGCAACTTTTCCCGCCCTTGACTAACGCAAAAGACTCCAAGTCGCAGCGGTGGGCGGCCTGAACGCAGGTTGGCCTGCGGGAGGGACGCTCGTCGCCTTCCCGCGTGGTCTTGAGCATCCCGCGTGGTCCAGCCCAAACGGCCCGGGAATCCTCTAGCGGGGCGTAGGCGACCCCTCGCGGCAGAGTCGAGAGTTGCAGCTCAAGGCTTGGGTTTCTACTTGGCTTGGCGTCCCAGGCACACTATGACATTCCGTTTGGATTCACAAACATGTGTCCTGGCACTTTATTTTTAAAGTGGCATGGAATTCTATTTTGTTTGATGTGTGCCTTGTGCCTGGGAGATCTGAACGGGCCGTCAGATCCCCTAGCCTGGGAGTTACAGACGGATACGAGCATCCTATGGGTCCTCAGCAAAAAACAGTCAGTGCGCTTAACCTCTGAGCCATTTCTCCAGTTCTCGGTCCTTTATTTTGGGGTGGGGGGAGGATCTCCCTATGTCATCCTGAGTAATATGGAACTCGCCGTGTATACCAGGCTGGCCTTGAACTCACAAGGGATCCGACTGCCAGCGTTTCTCGAGTGCCGGGGTTGAAGGCATGCACTGATACGTGCGGCGGTTTGGAGGGTTTTGTTCAGGGTCTTTCATTGTGGCACAGGCTGGACCGGAGGTCACGATGCAGCACAAGCTAGTTTGGAACTTGCAGCAGTCCTCCTGCCTCGGCTTTCTCAGTCCTGGGTTTGCAGGCGTGCCGGCGATTGCCAGCACACAAGCTGTCTACTGTATCCTTTAACCTCAGCAAAGGCGTCCAGCTAGGAAACCAAGCCGGCGGGGACTCGCCTTGCAGAGGCTAGGTTTCCGCTGCTCCGTCACAGCACAGTTCAGGCGCGCCCCCTGGAGGCCAGGCTTGTGCAGGGCGCTCCGAAGGGCAGCTCAGCCCTTTTCCATTCCTGTGCAAGAATCAAGAGCTACTTACTATTAATTTTATTCGTTTTTAAATTTAATTTTGAAGTAGTGTCTCACTCTGTACCTCTGGCTGTCCTGGAACTCACGCTGTAGACCTGGCTGGACTTGAACTCACAGAGAGTTGGCTGTCTCAGCCTCCTGATGGCTGGGAGTAGAGGTGTGAGCCACCATACCCATTTGTTCTGCTGTGTATCATAGTTTCAAGGACCTGGGAGTGTGGCTCAGTACTACACACACACACACACACACACACACACACACACACACACACACACA